ATCTCCATCACTCTTGCGTTGTTGTCTTCAAAACAACGCAAGTATATTCTTCAAGCAGTCGATGCACTGATAAATACCGCGTAAATTGTATATTCTGGCAGCTAAAGGCACAATTTTGTATGAGACTAACAGTAAATTAAAATATCTGGAGGCAAGCGTGGTGTTTTCGATACAGGATGATTTGAATCAGCACTTACTTGACTGGTATAGTCTGGAGTGAGATAAAATTTGATTAGCCTTATTCCGACTTAATCATCCTATGTTTATTCATACAGTAACATCGCATGTCCACTCAGAATGCATTAGAAACGTTTGCATTTCCACTATTAATCTACGTTTAACTGACGACTCACATTCTTTTTCTTTGTAGATTTTTTCCCGTTTTCATCAGCAGTGGTTTCCACCGTTCGAGCTGTATTTGACACATATGAAATTCTCTGTGTTCTGCGGTCATTGTTTGCTACGATTCGAAATGTAGTGCTGTTACCGCATGGATTGCACATTCGCAGAAGGAGGATTTCGGAGATGTTGTCTTCGTTGAATATTACGATTGCCATGTGCTCAAACGTGTTTCACTCTATTGTGAGACAACAAAGCAATGAAACAGAAACTGACCAGCTTCGATACATTCCTCAGTAAACTCCATTGGATTTCCTTATCCTCTTGCAGAATCGCTATAGGTCAATCGTTCAGTTATGTTTCTGAATGATGTCTGGCAAAAAATATTGTTCCAAGTATTGCTTATTCGTTAGTATTGATTTCATATAAGCTAATTTTATTTATCTTTGCCACCTTTTCCACTGATTTCAATTATTCCCATTTGAATTTGAATTTAAATTTCATTCTTCTTTCTCAACCAACTTTCACAGCGTCTAACTCTCCTACCAGCTATCACAATAAGCCACAATGACTCCGTGAATTACTGTACTAATTCGTAGGCTAGGATGCAATGATGGTAATCGATTGAAGTTCAGTCGGCAAAATCCGACGAATTTCGGTCGGAATTCCTAGATTCGGATTCCGACCGGCGAAGTTCGGTCGGAATACCGGGTTTCGAAATCTTAAAATGTGAATTCGGTCGGATTCTGACCGAACTGAAATTTCGTTCGGCTGTCATTACTACTACGATGTGACGGAAACGAATCGTGGTAAACACTGCCGAATCAAGTACTCTTAAGTATAGCGTGATTATGTTTACAGTTGTTATAAGAATTGGTACATGCTAAAAACTGAACTAGCATTACTCTTATTCACGTCGTCATCTGAGAATGAATGAATTTCTTTTGAATTGAAACGAAATTCTACTCTGATAATAACTTATTGGAAGTTTCACCATGAATACATCAACCAACACGCATTTAATTGCCTCTTGAGGGCAAAAAAGAGTTTCTATTTGCTAGTGTTATTTGTTCTGACATTATATTATGCATCATAATATATGATCAGTATAATAGATCAGTATATGTGATTCGGAAATTAAAGCTTATAATACGTCACCAATAGCTCTTCTCTTTGTCAAGAGCGATTCGTTTGAGCGTTCTCACTTTTAGAATATCATATGTTCATTTCATTCTTGAATTGAACCTACCTGTTGTTCTTCAAGAGGTGAATAGTGAAAATCGAAACTTGCATTAAAGAGATATCTGTATTGAAAAGCAAGATATCGCCTCAGAAGTTGATTGACATCAATTATACTATTAATTAGTCGTTCCAACTCTTGTTACCAATGCTCGAGGTAGCATCGCTTTTCGCGCATTAATTTATTCGTTGTTCATTGCTGAGTGTTCACCGAAATCCATTGTGATCAATGAAATCAGCAGCTGCCTTTGTTTTCGGTTGTTACTTTTAACTATGCTAGCAGTGATTTACTGCCAGCTTCATTTACATTTTTACAACAGTGAATGATCATCGCATGAACTATTCCGTTGTCATTTTATTTCAGCACTGCCCTCAGTCAATTATTTTATCATCCGGGAACAATTTTTACAAAATTTTCATGCCTTTCATCTCGTATATCTGATGTGTTTATTTATTCGAATACCAGCGATTGAATTGCAATGATTTTTAAAGCTGAGACATGGATTAGACATATCGTGTAATTGAGTTGATCAGAGTCATTTGAATAATGATTTATTTATCAACCGTCTGTATTTTTTCAAATATTTGCTTCAAAAGAATCTAACAGCCGCAAAGAAAACAACAGAGAAACATTTATTTGTATGTATTGAAGCGAGAATCACATGAAATTGTAGTGGTGAATTTTGAAAAGATAATTCAGTTTTGAATTTAAAAAATTATTTCTTCAGCGAAAACATGAGCGCAAACATTTTTTTGAAACAGGTGAATAATTGAAACTGGTGATCGCGAGTGGCACAGTTGTGTACTGCTATTACTGTTTTTCTTTGTTTTATGTCATTTTTACAACATTACTAGCAATCCAATTAATTTCTTATCAACTTCGTTCTCCTATCATTACACTTAACTCTATGTGATAACTAGCTAATTACTGTTCGCATCGACCACCGCAAAATTTTCGCTGAATATTTATCTGAATCATTCAACTTTTTTACAAAGAAACTTAATGTTGTAAAAGTGAACAAGACTTTCGCTCGTCTATTATCTTCATATGGGATAGGTATACTTTTTAATTTTCAATTTCTATATAATTAAGATGAACGGTGGATGAACGATACGGAAAAATCGCAAGAATAATATAGGTGAAGGGATTGTTTAATATTAATCGGGAGCACCTGTGAATTCCACCTAATAGTGTCACCATGTGGAGGAACAAAACTGAAAATGAAGTACTGCGAACGCTTTGTTCATATCAGAAAATATGTTGTTCAACTCGTGTTAATACTGATGTTATTTTTTAAAATTTCTAATTCTGTGTTGTGTTACTCATTTCATCATACGTCTTCTTTCAAATGAACCACTCATAGACACATCAAAATATTTTTGTTGTTTTCACTTCATTTAAGCATCATACATATTTATGTAAATATATCATTTCATTTCTTCACACCTCTATAATTTTCAATTCCAGTTATAATTTTTTGAAGCAAGTTACTTTGTACATTACATTTAAGTGCACATTACAATTTGATGATATTTTCAAAGCATTTTTGCAGGATCATTCCCATTTTTTTATTAGTTCATGTTCAGTACATAAAAATATTCAAGTCGTTTTTCAGATTCAACGATCATCCGGGAATTGATGAACATTTTTTAAAATGAAATTTGAATGTTGAAACTTTGCTAACGTTACAATATCATCTTGGCCGTTTTCATATTGTTCATTGATATGTGCAGTATTTCGCCATTCTCTTGAGCCCCAGATCTTCCTCCAAAGTTATTCCAAATCTTATCAAGAGTTTCTGATTTGAATGAAAATATTTCTAGCGTCAAATTTTGAGAATTTACCTGCTCTCAAGTTAAATGTATGAGTTTACAGACTTAACGAATTTTTTCCGAATTATTTTCTGGTGATGGTCTAAAGTGATTATGACTAACTTTTGAATCGATTATGCAGCCCACATTCAAATTTACGAAATTAATTGTTCGTCTTTCATGTTGCTCAAAAATTTTGTGAATTCATTTCTGATCTGATTTCATTCACTTAAAGTATATTCACACTTCTAGTCGTATGACCAGAATTTTTGCGATGCTTGTTCACTTCCTGTTTCTCGTCCCTTAACATCTTCTTCTCATCAGTTTTTTTGACGTTTCCAAAATATTCGCCGTGCTTCTGATCAGTTGTAGAAATGTTAATGGTTCAAACACATCATACCTATATTTCTTCTTGCTGGTGAAAAAATTAATGGGAACAATTAATTGTTTATGAGAAAGGAGATTTGATTAATAAACTTTAATTTGTTTTGCATCATTCAGTATCAAAAGGCGACAACAACAAGTCATTTATCCGCCATTTTTGAGAGAGAACAACCAAATAATCGCCTATGGCGATAAGCGCCGTTCACCTGAAGTGACTTATTGCAATTCAATTGATAAATTATTTCACTGAAAGGTACCACGAACATCTTTTCCTGCATTCCACTGCGCTGACTACTTTAATTTGAACTCAAGTTCTCATAGAGGTGAGTGAAGCGTTTGTATTGTTCAAAGATTGTGGAAGCAATTGTTGGCAAATAATAATATAAATAATCAGTGAAAAAAAAAACCGATCTTAGCTTGCTACCTCAGAAACATTTTGAAACGTTCACGAAAAGCTCATGCAGAAAGAATCTGATAATGACTATATCAGCAAAATAGATAGAAATGAAAAGTGCGATCATTGTTGCTGTGAATCATCTTCGCTTTCTGAATTGAACCATGAAATATCTTCGATCAACACACTTCTTGTTTTTTGAATATAGGTGTATGTGCATTTGCAACACGTATGTGAAGTGGTATGATTGGAGGCGAGCAAAACAAACAACAACGTAGTGGATTAACAACTGCTGCTAAAGGTTGACAACCACTTCTTCTAAATTAGGGAGATTGGGGGGGGGGGGGGGGGGGGGGGGGGAGGGAGGGGAGGGAGAAGAGAGGGAGAGAAGTGAAAGCGGAGAATTTCACCTGCAGAGGAATTGGAGGGCATCAACGAGGAATTAAGGAGGTCCACAAATCATTGTTGATTAATTTATTTTTAATAGTTCTTTCATAGTTGTCCAATAATGTTTTCAAAATGTTTGTTTGGTCATAGGGAATTGATTCCCTCGATAGAACCGACGGACTCTTGGCAGCGAACTTTTTGGTCAGTTTCCTCATGAGAGGAGAGAAATGGCAGTCGCGATACGACCAAAGACAGTCGTGGAGCTCAAGAGCGTGATAACCACTCCTATAAGTAATCGCTGAATCGGTCAAAATTTTAAGTGCATATCAACAGATGGAGCATTTTTCTGGGAATTTGCAGCCAAAAGACATTGAGAGGACATCTTTTGCGTAAAGTAATGCCAAATTAAACGTGTCGACGTTTGCTGAAACTACATTTTACAGTGATGCTTTCACCCCCTCATCTGCAATTACCAACGAACACAAAAGCAGCACTGATGCATACGAATACGAATGCTGATTCAGAATCAGCCGATAAGTTATCAAGAACTATGCATCTTCTGGGTGAGTCTTAAAAGAGTTCTTATCCATCACATCATTTCAACGTCGATGGCATCTTTCTGTTCCACAAAACAGAGTCATGATGCTACACTGAACTTTTTTTAATCTTGTTTTACAAATGTCACTTTATATGTGTATTATAAGTGAAGGAACTTGTATTTCATTGATCATTATTGTGGTCGAGTAAGTGATTAAAAAAACTGTTGCAGGCAGCCGAACAACCATAATTTGTGAACCAACTGTGAGCGGAGAAGCAACGGACACTTTGAATGCGAACAGCTCGCTGAAGGTGAAAAAAACACTTTGATTTTCATTTTGAATGGTTTGTTACAACGAACCACAAGTGATTTGTTAACTTAACTAGAACAGTGTCACTCACATGATTGCAATGATCGGCAAACAATGATAAATGGACACTCATATTTGCATACAATTTAGCAAATGAAACGACAAACCAAAACGACTTCGATATTCTTATGCACTTCAAATTTCGTTTTTCAGTACAACTTTGCTCAGTTGAACAAAAGTGATCGGTTAAGCGAAGTTTGAATTGCAATCAAACAAATGCATTCGCACGGAGTGCGATTTTTTTGTGTTGGATGACGCAACTGTTAAACAACTGCTATTGAAATGAATAGTTTGGTTTTTGTTGAATAAACGAGATTCAAAGTAAAATTATAGGTAGCTAGCTAGCATTAATAGCATGATTAATGAATATAAAACGACATTGTTGTTAGTAGGATTTGTCAGTTATTCATTCAAAGAATTACTTTTCGTTAAAATATGGAATAGAAAATGAAACAAGTGCAACAAAAGTAACTGGATGAAAAGAAGATGAGTAGATGGAAAGCGCTCAGCGAGGTTGTATGTGAGAAGAAATATTCATATAATGAGTATCCTTTCGTCCAAATCAGTGGTTTCCATGCTCGAGTGCTCCAATACCCATTTCGATGGTCTGTCAGGCCGTCATATTCCCTCCCCCCTCCCGCTACAATAGTTTAAATTTCCTGTTTCCATGCATGACTTCAGAAATAATTTCCTGGCCTTTCCATTAACCCTATGACACCCTCAAATTACCCAAAAAATGAGTAATTTCCCCTATGGCAACCCCTGTTCTAAGCAATTGATCTCTCTAAATGCAACGACATTCTTTGGGATATGACCAAGTGATTTCATCAAATGTGTTTACATGCTCATTTTAGAATAAATCATGCCAGTCGAGAAAATCCTCGTGTTATTATTTACTTGCTTTAGTCTACTGCACCATTCAGAGATTTTCAGTGCCGAATTAACTGATCCATAACCACATCGTTAACACACACCTTATTATGTTAGCAGCAACTGTACCCGCAACAGTTTTTCAGAGCCCGCCATTGATTTGTGAACAAGGACCCAGCACTCCGTCGTCACCGACAAGTCCTGTCAGTTCACGTCTTCGACGTCCTAGCCCTCTGACTGCGGATGCAATGGAGAGGATTAATATGGTAAGCTTTCTCGACCTCTTAACAGTTCCATCATAGACTTGTGCATTTCTCACGATTGTGTTTGCAGCTAACGGCTGCTTATCCGGCAGCAATGGGTTTCAGCAAGTTATCACCACTTAGTCCTCATACTACTAGTGATCTCGGCTCAAGTCCACGCAGTTCAGTGAGTCTTGCACCAAGTAGTCTTGGTCCATGTTGGACTGGCTTCAGAGACAGTAAAAAATCCAGGTTCATTCATATTCAGATATTCTCATAGATTAAGCCATAAGCAATGTCATTGAATGCTTTGATAGTCCGACAAGTGATTTGCAGTATTCGTCGATGATGAGAACTCTTTATTAGTTCTTGCACGGCTCTACAGCTGTCGAAATAAGCCGATTACTGTATCATTATTATGATTTATCTATGCGATTGTCCAAGATTTTACATCTGATAATTTTCAGTGTTGAATGCGATAGTGATTCGGATATTTATGGCAAAGATCTCCTTTCCCCTTGTATGATATATTCGCCAGCACCGTTTAGTCCGTTCAGTGATTGTACTGAGCCTCCCGAAACACCTTACTCGGCATTCGGTATGGGTCATTCACCAGCAATGTCACCGCTCTTACCGATGAAATCACTTCACTTCAGGTTTAGGCCATTTCAAAAATTTTAATGTAATTCGTTTGTATAACTGTGCTACTTTAGCACTCATGAATACTTCTCGCGTTATTCATATCCATTCGTGGAACAGTTTGCGTAAGCGTCTAGATTGCAGTGAGTATGTTAACAATGCTTTTGAGGCTGTGAAACCGAACTTGGTTGGCCCTCAGTTAGTGGGTGATTTTCATGAAATTATGTGAAGATGTTACTCGCTATATGAACCACATATCAACAATGAAACACTCCGCGCTTCTGTGCTTTGAGCTAAAAAGCACTTATTTAGATGATTTTGTGCGGTGAAATTTTTAAAGCCTTAGTAACATCGCTTTCCCGAGTATTACTATGATTCTTCGATGGAAATTTTTCTTATGAAAATTCGAGTTACTTCATTGTTCAACAGTTTAGTTTCGATCCAATTCGTAGTGCCAGTTCACTGTCTGGCCGAACTGAAAACAGTCAACATCAGTTGCTTGTTCCCGGTTCCCGTTTGGACTCTGAAACAAGGTATTCATTTGGTGCGACTTTGTTAGCAAGCAAAAAATTGGAATTAACATCATGAAATTGAGCCTTTCTCGTGAAAATTCATCAGTATATCGTTTTTTAAATATTTGTACTCTATAATTTGTGCTAATTCGAACTCCATAAGGTGTGCTAATTCCGAATGATTCAGAGAAAGAAGCCGTTCCGATGGTGAAATGGCTGCGAAAAGTGCCGATGAAGAAATGGATACGAGCATAGGGCATTCAACTGTTTCAGTCAGTGGTTTCTAACTGAAACTTCTGAGTGCTTTATTTCAGTTGTTCATATCCTTCATTCCTCGTGTTTTTTTCCATAGAACCCCATGTTGAACATTGGTTACATTACGCACTTCATATAAAAAACAAATCCGCCTCAAAATGTTACAACTGTTTTAGCATATCCTTTCCAAATCAATGAAAATTTGAATTTTAGCCTCACGGCAATGCAAATTTGATAGACTGCCATTCAAACGCTACTCCTAATGTAATGCTTGAGCGCAACAGATAATTACTATTAATGTTAACATCTTGAAGTACATTTGATGGGACCATTCTCATAGATGAAACAATTACTGGTTGCTATGTTTTCTTTTGGTTGCTTACGTCATTTGAATATGTTCCGTTGGAAGCAAAGAGCTGAATTTCAGAGAGAGTGGAATTTACTTTGAGTGAATGAATTTTTCTTCCAGGTTCCCGCTACCACAAGTCGAGTGATTTCTTCAACCGGGCAATATAAAAAACGTCTTCTTCAGAAGTATGAAAAAGAGCAGGAAGGTCGAAAATTGTTCAAAAGTCAAGAACAAGAATCGACACCACCTGAAATAGGCGAAGTAAATTCTTCGCCTGGAACTGAGGTCTCGCTGAACAAAAGATTTACAGACTAATTTACTTTATGATGAACGGATGACTTATTTCGTAATTAATAAATGACTGGTCATTTAATGGGTTTTGTTTGAAAAGTTGATGTTGTTCATTCAGGGCTCTGAATCCGAAGATTTGGAGTTGCACAGTGTTAGCCGGCCACTGTCAAGACAACCAACAAACGAAGAAACTCCATCGTCACCATTACCCGATGCGAAAGCGAAACAAGTGAGTTTATTCACATGCTCAATGCTGGTAAAGTAAGCAGAAAGACAGAAAGGATTTGGTGTATCAATTGCATATTTTCAATGAGAAACTTCCGATGGAGCCTTCGAAGTGCACGAGTTTCATGCGACTTTTACAGCTTTCTGAAGCAGTTTCTGAAGCACTTGGTAATCAGAATCAATTCAACGCTTGGATGCAGCAACAACTGATAGCCTGGCAGAATCACTGGTACAGAAGTTCGAGAATGCTTCCAACTGCTGGCGTTCAATTGGCTACGCCACATGGACTCATAGGCGTAAGATGTTTTCGTTTTTATTCACGTCAGGGATTTACAAGTGCCTAGCTATTTCCGTTGCTTACCACTATTTATTGCCAATAAAAATTTAGGTTCATACGCCGAATCCTCAGCTGTTAATTCCTCCATGTGAACATTTATCGCGTGGGTTGGTTCGAAATACTGGTTCACCTGAATTGGATGGTAAAATTGGACCTATTAAGGTTATTAAATGAAGTGTTCATTTATTTGTTTTGATAATTAATTTGAAATGATAAATAAGCTGAATCATCCGAATGTTGAGCGAATTCGTTGGACGCTATTTCAAATAACTTTAGAATGCGACAATGTGGCGAAGAAGTCGCTCCGAATCAGATGTATCAGCTGGTAATTACGTATGTCAGCATTGTGGACAGGTGAGCGCAATCTTATCATTCAGCGTGACATTTGATTGAGCAAAAACTTCTTGTGGTCGATTGTTATTACAACTCTGTGGACTTCCATATATAAATTGCCTCTCTTAATGATGTTTCTTACTTGTTCCACTCATTAAATTTAAATTTTATGGTGTCTTTGCATTAATCATAGTCATTCACGATCATGACATTACCATCTATAAGGTTCATTTTAGAATGACATGATATTTGCTCTTGATAAAGGCATGCGCGAATGCAACTCGAAGCATTCAATTAGTAGTCATTGAAGAATCAATCCGATGTACAAGACTTTCATGTAGAGTAAGGTTTGGTTGCATATGTATTTTGGTGTATGCAGGCGTTTGCATTGCACGATCGACTCGCGAAACATATTGCATCACGTCACCGAGATCGTTCTGCTTCAATAATTGAAGAGGACGGACCATCAAAAAGCCATAAATGTACCATTTGCAATAAAGCGTTCGGAAGGAGTGACATGCTGACGAGGTGTGGCACCATTGCTTTTTTTACTGTTCATCATTACCGACATTCTTCAAAGTTGTGTTTACTGACATTTTCATGCTGACAAAGTCACCAACTTAATTCTTCTGCATAGTGGAGGATGCTATTTGGAAACGCTTTTTCGTGAATTACATCAAAATGTTCAGTTTTTATTTGGTACAATATGATTTAGTTGAGTAAAATATAATTCGACAGGCATATGCGTCTTCATACTGGCATTAAACCTTATGGATGTCATATTTGCGGACAAGTGTTCTCACGAAGTGATCACCTAAGCACACATCAACGAACTCACACTGGTGAAAAACCGTATCAATGCCCACAATGCAACTATGCAGCCGTCAGTTTTAAATATAAGCTCATGTGCCTTATTTTAGTAATTACCAACGATTAAGGAGCATTATGGAAACTGGGAATATTCTGAGGATTTGCTTTAAAAAACGTGATAGCTGAAGTGCATTTGAAGTTCTGAATCAAATTGAGAAATTTTCATATCCTTTATTTAGCAGCTAACCAGCATACTGTAAGAGCTAGTCGTTTGACCACATCGTTCTATTTGATGAATTTTTCGGGTGGATCTGAATCCAACTTATACCGCAGTTCAAGTCTGAATTTAAAGTCAAGCATCGGTCATGCTCTATCCCCCCACTAAACCTTTTTTCCATGATAATCGAACTGCTGGTTGCCAGCAAATCGAAATGCTTTTAAATGAAGCAGTATTCATCCATTTAATTCAACAGATAATATTATCGAAAGCGAGAAATAATTTGATCATTGGTTTTCAGAGTCGTCGTGATATGATAACACGACATATGAGGACACACGTACGGCCATCTGCGTCACCAGATTTTAATGCTCTCGCTATTGGTCGCCTGACCTTAAGTCAAGGTGCCTCACCGATCTCTCCGAATGGATGTGAATTAACACATGAAAATGTTGGATTGGGACCGCCACCCACTCTCGGCCCTACGGGAAGTCCGGGTGGCTCACAGCGATCGCTGGCAAAGAATCCGTTGTTGGCAAGCACGATTGGATGTAGTTTCGATGGTGGGGGTATGCATAAAACTTCGTTTTTATTCCAACTTAAATGTAAGCTGTCATTCAAAAAAAGAAACAGTTTCCTACCGACATTCGAATCTCATTTCCTAAAATAAGTGTTGCTTTTGGATTACATGTCCACTCACGGACCATCAGATCTTTCATTTATTATATTGCAGTCTCCTGCAATTGTCATAATTCTGTGTTCCTTAAAAGAATCGATCACTAGAACGTACACGTTCACTTCAAGTGATTATTCTATCAGAAATTACATTCTACACGCTGTATCTTCAGGCCCAGTGAACAGTTCTGATGGGTTAAGCAATCCACACGGTTCTGATGCCATTCTAATCGGCTCAGGTTTGCGACCAAGTGCATTTACTGCTCGTCGTCAACTTACAGCATCCGTTTCGGTAACCACACCCGCAATTACTTCAGGCAATCGCCTCCTTCTGCCTTCTAGTTTTTCTCAATCTCTGTCTTCACCCTCATCGCCCATTCTTAGTCGACAGGCAAGCATCGGTGGTTTTTGCTCACAAAATAACCTTTAACACTGCTTTATCACTTCACTCAGCTCTGACTTTTTCAAACGAACTTATCTTTGATTACCCAATTATAAGATGTTGCTATCCATTCTCTCTCGGTTGCTTGTTCAATCTCAGATTTCACGCCCATAAAAGTTCATATCTTCGAAAGCTATCACGATGTTTTCTAGCTCAGTAGAGAAAATTGAATAATTAAAATGCAGCAGTATTAACATATTACTTCGCAAAAATGGGTGTTTAACTAAGGAAGCAGTGTAATTTCATGACCACTGTCAGTTGTGAGGGATTGCAGTTTAAAGTCTCAGATAACGCTATCACCTTTCAGCATCGAATGGTTGTTTATGAACTTGTTCAACAGTATTGTTGCTTGAAACACAAATTGAATTTTGCTTCTAATGAAAGCATTAATTTAGCGGGTTCCATAGTATGTCCCCAATGCGAGTCAAAGAGATACTTAATGAGAAGCAATGCTTTAATTGATTCATTTAGTCTCTTTTTTCTATTGCCTAGAAAAAAGAGACTAAATGAACAGTGCTTCAAGCGAAACCTGAAAAAAAATTGACTGCATCAAGTACCCGAGCCTTCCCGATAATGTGTAGTTTCTAAACTGTCTTGATATCTTTATGAACACTCAGATGATATCATTGGAAATAAGTACAATCGATCGAATGCTCCATTGGAGTGTTGTGATTGCTGGAGCTAGTTATCAAGTTGAGTATTTATAACATTGTTATATCTATTGAACGGTATTATTCTGTGACTACTGTGTTTGTATGATTGCAGTAAATCAGTTATTCTTATATACATAGTCGTTGTTAAATGAGTGGCCAGTTCTTGTTTATTACATAATTGGCTATTCGTGAGCTGATTTTGACTGTTTTACAATCCGAATAGTGTTGTATTTTAGGTATTATGTGCACAAGTCGTGCTTTCATGAAAACGCCTCCCATTGAACCAATAAACACTCAGGAAAACTACCTGAAATTTTGTATTTGTCAGCTTTTTTACTTGCTAGAAAGAAGTTATTATCTGAAGGTATCAGTATTCGTGGAATTGAGCGAGTGAATATGCTGCAAAGAATATCGAATTGATAAGCTTATATTGAATCAGTATTCTATCGTATATCAACAGCTTTTGATGAGTTTCAATCGTCTTAACGCTTCCCTTCTGCTGTCGCTTCGCTGCATTCGAGTAATTCATCACAAACGTTGCTCAAGATAAAATGAAAAGGCTCTATCGAAACTACAGATAGTGTTGTCAAAACGTCGGGTAAATTGTGAATGATGAGAAGAGACTTTGTTGATTTTCTAGAATAAAGCATTATTCCATTGTGCTCTTAATGAAATCTTTAATCTCGTATTCGTGATCATCTGTCAACTATTATTTGTGCCCGTTTCATCCATTTTCATGCGTTTCGTTTCTTCAAATTGTGCACTTTTTCTGTTATATTCAAATACTTGATCAGATCTGAATAAAAGAAAAACACTGGACAACGGAAATGCTCATATGCTGTTGCCTGATTCATTTTCAGTTTCAACTGCATTCTTGTATATTTCTCATGACCCTCAAACATTGGAATTTAATGTATTTAGTAATTTATTTTATCAACTTTGCAAAAAAAATATTCTTAACAATCAGAAAAAAAAACTAAATAACAAAGTTAAAAGGGGCGCATTTAGGGAAATATGAGATGGAAAAGGCAACATGATTCAGGAAGGATGATTGAAACAATCAGACGGAGTTTTTTCGCGAGTTAACTCGATCTAGATGATTCTTCAGGGATGAAACTAAATTTTCAGGAGATTACAATAAGATCTTTAAAAAGATGTGTGATCGAGCATGATCAGTAATTGTGCTTAAACGTTGACAGTTTATACAAATGCTATTAGGCAAATGGAATAAGTTGTTAGTAGCAAACTTTACGAAATATCTGCAAACGAGCAACATTTTCGTTTACAATTATACGTATGCAAGTATATTTCTAATCACTATATACAATACCAAGAGAGCGATTCACATCAAACGAGCTGTACAGTATCTAGATCACAATGTAAGAGTCTTCCAAACAGACTGCCGACAAGCATTTGAGACTGTCGCAAAACGACACTCGACGAACCCCATATGGTTGCACCATCGTTAGCATAAGGTTCAGTAATTATCCAACTGAGGCGATCATCCTTAACGATCCTTCTCATTTCGATTAGCGTTCAGTTGAGTGAAAAAGTCATTGAAAAGCATGTTCTTAGCAATGAAGCAACAACACAGCCATAGAATGAAAAGTTTGATCAAGCCCTAGACCAAACGATAGTTCTCCATGTTGGTCCACGGATACATTTTCGAAATTTATGAAGTGCATTTCTACGGACATTGAATGAACTGTAAGCTATAAGTTTTTCGAGATAGTGTACATGAAGTAAGCAAAATTCATGTTAGTAAAGAAGTAGGATTGATGGGCGAACGCAAAAAAATATACCTGTATTCTGATTCTGAGTACTTGTGAAGGAGATCGATTTTCATTCGATGTAGGATTCTGTATATGAGCATAAGCTTTGAAAAGAACCGGATGAAGTGCGACCCAGACATCACCAGTGTCATGTTGAACGTACACCTTGTTTGGTGATGAAAGGAGCTGAATGTCGATCTGTTGCTTTGCAGACATGTCCTTTCTCACTTTATACACCCGGATAAACTATGAAATGAACAATGAATGCTTCAAAAAATGAGAATGAATTTGGTCAACTGATTGTGAGTACAACATAAATGAACCAAAAGGTGTATCAAAAGACTGAGGTTGAATTTGAACATAAGAAAAGTTATAAATGTAAACCTCATTGAGAGAACTAGCAGCATATAAATATTCTCTTGTGTGATCATATGCGATTCCATTTGGGCTTGGGAAGTATCTGGAACGTAAGATCGTAATTGAGCATTTCTACTATACATAAAGTCACGTCCGCTCAGTTCCGCTTATTCTGTCTGACAAATGTCTTGCGAAGGAAATCCCGAATTTGGGAACTGTCAGTTCCCGTGAAAGCTTTGGCCACTTGAGTCGTACAATTCGGCATTAGTATTCATTTGGGGTAGGACGAGGGCAATTAGTTTCAGACGACTTCGCAAGGTTGGTTCCAAAATCTGGCCTAGAGTAATGCCTACTGATGATGTGCAAGGAGTAGTGATGTCTCTCTCTGTTCCAGCTAAACTGTTTTTTTCTGCCCTGGGAAATGGAACAGAAGAACATTTGAAAGAAGAGAGTAACGTTAAAATTTTCGAATGAGAACGGAGCAAGACAACAAAAACAAAAGTGCAGAACAAAACAGCTGAAGGGCAGGACAGAACAGTTCGATCAGAAACATCGCGGGTGTAGTGTTCATCGTTCAAACTAATATATTAAAAACTTATGTTAGCAATGAGAGTTATTTTAAATTGTTGCATCACAAACCACAATTATCATTCCATTCCACGAAAATGACTAACCTTTCCAAATAATTCGACTTTTTGCCATCAAAATAAATAATAGATCCAAACGATGACTGTAGTGCTAATTCAATCAGTTGCGTCCACTCACGACTGGTGTACACGAAGTTGGTCACAAAGAAACGATCAGCACCAACTACTGCGATGTCAGCCAAACTGCAAGAGGATTATGAATGTTTCGTGAAGAATCGTCAATTACAAATCATGACTAGCAATCATTGGAAATTGTACTGTTTATAGCAGATGAACAGAGAACTCAACTCAGTAGAATTCAATTTGTTTTTGTTTTATCTTCACTTCGTATGATCGCTCCATATTTTGATGCAATCGAGTTTTTCTCAGCATTATAAAAACAAAGGTGTGGAATAGTGCGCTATTGCCCATCTCTGTATAAAGCATGGTTGTGTATTTTAGTGAAAGAAATGGATAATAAGTAGTTGAAGATGTTGAAAATTCACTTATTGAAAGCAGGATCTGTAATTGTTTTTCGATGGATCAGCATAAGGCGTTCTTTGTTGAATTGAAATACCTCAACAGTGTGGTTCCCATTGTGACTGTTGGTGATGTAAACATTGATACGACCTTTACTTACGAACGAACTAATTCCATAAGGTGTGAATGTATGCTACAACGAGAGCACAGTTTTAAAATACAGATCGTTTATAACCCACACATTCGAGTTGCATCACATTTTCTTCTTTCTTTTGTAATGACCCAAGATGATGAGGAGAAAATGATGAGGAGAGATTCACTGTTTACAAGAAGCATTACAATAATACCCTGTCGAGAGTGATTCCTTGAATTTTCAAACTTTTCGCTTCATATCTGCCCGTATTATCGTTGAAGTCATACAAAAATACGTCGCCAACAGCTGCTTTCACTCCTCGACTTTTCGCATAGCCAGATGTTATAAGAGCAATATCGAATTCTTTGATAAATTCAATGCCAGCCGAACCATTCTCTAGGAGAACAACAGTTGTATTAATTTAACTATACAGTAATTTACTAACAATCTTATGACCACTAAAGAAAGTTATATCTTACGGACACTCTAAATAATCATATTGTTAGCACATCAAACTTTATGAAATAAATAGCACGATGATATTCCTTTCTGCATTACAAAAGTTCAATCTTCACATTCAATATTGTTCAAAATATCTGTGAACTCACCCAAATTTCTCACGATCCGACAACTGCCTGGTGAGTGGTTATACACTCGTTTATTCAAATCGAGCAGCAACCTGAAATGCAAAAGCTAAGTTAAATATTCGTAATTGTATAAATCGCAAACAGAGGATGAAACAATAAGAAGAATATAAAAGAAGAAAGTGAATTGCATGAATCGTTTGTTCTTACATGAATCTGATAAGAACGCTGCACCCGAATCCAAGGAATATCAGCGTGAGGATTCGATTCGTCATTTTGAAAGAAATATACTTTCAGTGCGCTGAATGAATTTTTGAAGATAGATTGAAATATGAACTAATTGATAAATGATGTGATATTGATAATCATTTCAGCATTGTGCTCACATCATATTGCAGTTGTTTCGATTGCAAAATGGTTCATAGAGAACATTCTGCATGCAATGATACTCGTGTACTGAAATTAGCGCTGTTTTCTTCATCTTCAACACGAATAACTTTGGCATAAACAATCGCAACAATAAAATCATTCTCACAACAAATCATTCTTTAACTAAACAACAAAATCGTTCTCAGAGATAACCACACAACTCATCAAAGATCAATGATTTTCAGAAGTTTGATAAGATGTAACGTTCAAAACGAGTCTACTACACAAGAATAACCAGTGCTGGGTAAGGATAATAACTAGATAGAATTCATAAGACAAAATAATAGTGAGTGGTCAATTGAATATGGATTAACGTAGTGGAAATTTTGATTCATTTGAAATTTAGAATGAACTGAAAAGAGAATGAAGTTCAATGCGATATAAAGTGAAAATGGAATTGAAATGAAATAAAGTAACGTTCGAATGTGAAGTGATAAGCTGACTGACGATTTCGTTCGTTAGTTAAATTGGATTGAGTAGCGAAAGCACCAAAGGCTACTCTATATGATCAATACCAGTGCTAGCTGCTGCCTGCTGTTTTTCTCTGAGGACAGCTCTAGGCATAAAACATCGAATTTATTATGCATCAAAACGTTCTTGTCTTCCATCCACACTATCGTGCTCTAATGCATTCTTAAGTATAACCACAATGATACCACATACATCCATCCATTCATCCATTTTAAAGCACTTTTATTTCATTCCACAAACCATACGAATTTTAATTTTTGCTTCCAATCAGCGCCTTCTCTCTTTCAGCGATGGTGCGATTAATGCTGTTTTCAGCAGCAATTCTTCGCATTGAGGACAGCTTTAGGCATTTAATTCTTCGCATTGTCTATGACATAAATTCTGTAGATCAGTTTATTAAGATAATTTTCAAAAATTTAGCCAACCAAACCACCGCACTAGTTTCATTGATTGAGAAATGAATGCCACTTGAGCACTAGTACTGAATGAATCCAAATGCATGTTCATTAAAGCCAAGAATATAATCGCTCAGATGTGTTCTAGTTTCATGAGATGATAATTTGTATATTTGTTTGTTTGCTTTGTTTTCACTCATAATTTATTCAAATGTAAACAAATTAAAAGATGTGATAATTTGTGAGTTATTCCGATCGGAGGTTGATATGCGACACCAAAAGGATCAACGATGTTTTGTCGGTCAAAAGCAAAAACATCATTAATCGATTAAATACATGTTAATTATCGTCGTGCAATCATGAAGAGTGGGTGGGTGACGTTTATTTTGACTGGTCAAGTGAAGACTTATAAAATTTTACGTACAGTAGTAAAATTTAGGATTGAAGCTGGAAATGTACCTGAACCCATAACTTCTTCAGGAGTGCATCGCATACCAGTTGCAAGTGATCAATAATTCTATGTTCGTTTCAAGTGCGAATTTTGAATCAGTCTGGTGAATGTCTTTAATATGAAGTAAGCGAAGACATTAACAAGGCCTCCCGTTGAGTTACTTATGTGATCAAAACGAATAATCATTTTAAAAGAGTTGTCTTAAGTGCCACTATATTATGATTGTGTACCTTTATGTAAAGGTAATATCGATGTAACGGTTGACATGGATTAAATATAACATTGACGGAGCAAGATTTTCACCATTTTTTTCAATTCATTTAACCACTGCTTCAGGATTCGATGTAGTAAAAGTAAATAATATCTTCATGCTTCTTAATGCAAAACCTCTTCAAATCTTCGTTTATTCCAAAACAAATACTCATGTACATATATCATCCATTTACACTACACTATCGAACCCGCTTCGGAGACGCGTCATTCAAGGTGAAATACTTTTATTATCATATCACCTCTCTTCACAGCATATTCACTTTGCAAACGCACAAAGTACATTGACGCGAAAAGGGCACAGTATGAGAATAAATAAAATTCAATGAATAAAACAAACAGTCTTATACTACAATAATACCTCATATTTTAAGTTCATGTGAAAGACTCATTGTAGCCACATCATTCATTAATTCAGTAGAATATCAATATTCGACTCTCGCACCAGCTGATCATTGAGACTTTTCGAATTCTCACCATTGATCAGACTACATTTGTCTTGACAAATAACCATATTTTACGCGTACGCTGCAGCACGATTGAAAATCTGTTTTCGATTACTGCTCATATTCATCATCACCAAACCACGTGTATTTATCCAGAACATGGATACGTCCATTCCCTCTTGTCAGCACTAACGAATTACCTGAAGTTCGTCATCTAAATATGCATCTTTCTATCGATGAACAAAAAACAAGTAAAGAACCAACTTTGAAAAGATGCCTTCATGACATTCTCACATTTACGTATCAATCGTCCAACTGCTTGATCAACTCGATCTTGTGAGATATCCGATAGTTTCAGCATCACAGTTCGATCGGTTTCTCTTCAAAAAAACGATGAATGCAATCAGTTATTTCAGTTGAATGCACAACGCTTACGTTAGTGCACTCACTGACCCGTTCCACCTACATCTGTGTTTTGTTGGGATATCATCTTGCAAACCAATGTGAGTAGCAATAAAGTATATAAGTACCTGGATATTTCCAACCAATAGCTCATTGCTCGAGCTGCCTGTGCTGCATGATTATCAACGACATGGATCACCTCAAGAATGGCATCTACTTTCATACTTTTCAATACTCTGATAACTTTTTGTCGTGATTCTAGATCATCCAAGGCATACGTGGCTTCACACTAAACAAGTAAAGTATTCGTGCAATTCAAGAAAATGCTTTTCAAATGATCTAAAATATTGTTCAAGAAACGAGATTTACATTTAAGTTTTTAATATTTTCTGAAAATGATTGATGTCAGCTGTGATTGAATGTGAGTGATTCTGCGTCCTTAAAGAATTTTTGCGCAGAATTAACCACCAAAAAGCGATTAGCATGTGTACGTAAATAATCACTTAAACAAGTTTATACTGAAATATCATCGTAAAAGTATAAAGGACTACCTGAATCAAAAGGGTAGCAAGAAGGCCGAGCACCGGAATAATGCCTCCGTTAAGATAAGAATCAATAATGATTTTTGGGCAAACAATTGAAAGATGTCTTATTTGACAGTTGGCTGTTATTTGAGCAATATCAATCGATTGTAAATCCTCCACTCCTCCCAATTCGAGTATACTACAAATTGAATGGACGCTATTTTTTGTTATTCATGGTTCATTGATAGCAACACTTTTGAAATTGGCTTCAACTCGAGTTCAACCAAAGGTGGTGAGTGTGCTCACTTACAAAGACGTGTAAGCTTCTCATTACAAATCAATTTTGTTTTTAATACATTGATGACGTATCCATTCTATTGTTACAATTTTGATTCTCTTTTTTTTTCATGGGTAAAAATTCGTATTTGCAAAAAGAATACTTTATTAGCCGATATAAGCGATACTTCGAAACAGTACTAATCTTTTATTACGCAGAATCATTCTTTTCAAATTCTCTGCTGTAATGAATCATTCAAGGCACTGAAGTGTGCAACATCCTTTAGGACTATTCTATTATGAAATATGAACTTCACGTTAGCATAACATCACTCTCAGCTTCACACTTCAGAAGGTGTTACAGTATGACCCTGTGTGTGTCTGTCAACTATTCATTTGCTCATACGTTTCATCTGAATTCTTGATTGTTAAAATAAATCTGCTTTCTGAGATGAACAGACCATTAGCATTGTTCGATTCATAAATCAGTAATGGAAGAAATAATTTTAGAATGAACTGGGATTCGAGATAGGTCCGAACGGGACAGAAAGGTTTGTGCAGTGACACCTTACACCACTCATACTATTCGCTCCATCATCTCATCACATTTAAATTTGATAAACGGATCAAAATTTTTCGGCCTGCTACTGAGCAGCTCCTCTAAAGGTGATGCAAATAGCATATAAAGGATGCTTTTGGATAAAATATAAAACGAACCTTATGTTTTTATGTGACAACGCATTAGACAAATATAAATGCGAGTATTTGTCATAACGACAAGTTTCGTATTGAAATTGCTTCAAATGATGGCACATTGAAATTGAATTCCATAAATGTTTACTTTGTGTATTTGATTCGACTCGCATATGGCGCAGACGAAGTTGTTTAACATATGCTGAGAAGCAACAAATCATTTTTGACACCTGCAAGTGTTTCGCTTTCAGTCATTCATCCGCACAGTACACTTCAATTAGATAATCTTAAATCTATGCTCAGATCAATTCAATTCCTATCGACGGTAACGGCGTTAATGCGTTTGCTACTGCTCACACAACAAACTTGAGCAAGCATTTGAATAGCACGTTACTCTGACTGATTACTCTCTTCTAGTAATACCGTCTTGTGTTTGGAGAATGGCCGACACGAGAAGAAAACGAGATGATCACATGAATCATGATCATATAAATGTCACATATGCGTGAAATCAGAGCTCAAGTACCTGTTCAATATCAGATTTTTTATTGCCGACAATAGTCAACTTGTTGAGAGTTACTCGTCGACGATATGGTTTCGCATCGATATTGACTTGTTCAAGTTGTTTTACGAACGCACCACAAAGAAGTCCATTAATGCTTGTCTCTAGCCAGAGATGTTCTACATGATCCACACGACATGCTGTAATGTAATCGCTGTAATTTCTTTTCACGTTTCATCACGTCACGTTTCATTTCTCAAACGAATAACTTTCACCGAAACGAATACAAATTAACAAAATCAACGTCAAAACCTATTCGTTTAAGGATCAGTTCTGCTTGCCAATCCTTAAGAGCAACTGTGCCATCATCACCAATCACTTCAGACAGATCGAGCTCTGGTATCAAATGATAAGCAATCAATTCCGGTGCTTCACTAAACAAATATAGTTCACCATTCGAAGCCGACTGTAGTTTCAGTGGAGGCAGCCTTATCGGAATCGTCGTACACAAAAAATTACATAGCTGAGAAACCTTGAAATAAAATAAGAAAATTGACAATTATGATCATCAAAGATATGGTTTTGAGTGCTTTCAGCCGTTTTAAAGCCGTTCCGAGCTATCATTCATTTAAACAATTCATTGGCAATAGAGAACTGAACATGTGTCTTTCAACAAATATCACTTCAAAATTACCTGTCGTAAACGAATGCGATCATAAGCACTGAGTTGTTCGAGTACGTTCAATAAAACAGCTGGAACGAGACGTTCACGTTGCTGTATTGACAGAGTTGATTCAGAGGTTACGGTATGTGAGGAGCGATTACTGATCGGTTGAATGAAGCGTTTTGCAAGATGCCATAATGAACGACGTCGATGCTTCGAAGTGGTGCCTCTGCAAGATGTAGATGGCTGTAGCATTGTGAAATAGTTGCGGGTGGCAGAAACGCTCGCAGATGTCATAATTGCTAACGATTTTCACCAAACAATCTGAAAAAAATTGAAAAAGTGAGTTTTATGCAGTCAGATTGCGCAAGCGATAATCTATAAAATCTACACAAGCGATTCTCTCAGTATCTTTCTGAGCGCAAGAAACATGAAGATAACACTAAAACATTCATTTGTGCTGTGATGTTGCTGAATTGCAAAAAGAAATTGTTGAAATTCACTGAATACATTTTAAATTTTGATCGTTGAAATGCTTAGGTCACTAAGATTCAGTACTGGCATAGGAAAAGAAAGGAAACGAATTAGCTGTCGACTTTTGGTGAGAAAATAATAAAGATTAATGAAGCATATAATAAAAAGATTTCTAAATTATAAATGCACAAACAATTTATATGCGACATGGAATAGAGATAGATGTATCATAATGTAAACTCTCCAATTAATAACGACAGCATGAATGATAGTATGGAATGTCAAATGTGGAATGAAGCAAGCCGAACCAACAGATATGCTAAGGTGTATTCATCATTCACTGCACATAATAAGAGGTTAGTTTATGGTATTAGTTGTTCATCTCCCTGTTTAACGCGAGGATTAGGCATTGTGTGAATGTGAGCGATTACAAATTGTAAAAGTGAGCGAATGCGCGTTCGTATACACATTAAGCATTCAATGGGAATATGCAAATACGATAGGATAGAATCACTCGCATGGGAATACGACAACGAGGTGAGTCCCATTTGATCGGGTGGTAATGACTGCTGTTGGTTCATCAAATAAACAAACCTACTGAAACGCACCCTTAGCCAGAAACTAATTTAATCCTAATTCAATCCAATAATTGGCATACAGTCTGTAATAAATGCTACAAATATCATTTGAACTGTATTTCAACACATATTAGAGTAAAGAATTGCTACTTGTTTTGCAGTAAACTGTAACTTATGCTACTGAACACTCACTGCCCCATAACAAACAATGGCTTAGTGATCCTCCCAGTTCTTATTTTCACATCCTTTACCAAACTAAATTATTTCTTTAAAAGATTGCGTTTTATCAATACATTCAACAAAATAATCAATTTTGCAAATTTTCTATTTTAATTGAGAAACTCGTCTCTAAGATCTACGTTGAGAGCATGGAAGTTGCAATGAGCACGCGATTTTGATAAAATCGAACATTCGGTTTATGTTTGCAAAGGATGCGTTTTCAATCATTTATGCTCATTATTATACAACTGGGGAACGTAAATAAATCTTTGGAGGAAATGGCAAAATGGATCATGAAAAATTGCACAGGAGAACTGCATCAAAATATGCTGAAGATACGCAATGAATTTTGCAAGTTCGCATTAAAATCAGCAATAAAAAATAAACAATAGCGACAAATTGTTACAGAGATTTTGAGCATTGCAGTTGAATATGAATGCAATGTTTCCGGTGATCGTGTCTAAGTAAATCAAAGCGAGAAGCAATTATCACTAATTCCCATGTTGATTTTCAGAGTGCACTGTAGGGGGCATACAAGAAGGCGCCTTGAAAGTATTCTCGCGATAGTTAATCATGCAAACGTCTACTGCTGGAAACAGAGACAAATCTAGGCATCATTCAGCAAGACTGCACCTATAATCCAATTCAATGAAGGAATAAAATTTTGGTTAGTATGAATAGCAGTACTCCGATCGTGGACACGTAAAATCACATGTCTCATTATTCTCTCAGATCAGCTAAAAAAATCATCAGTTTCAGATTAGTTTCAACTGAACCTACAGTTTCGGATTCCATTTTTTTGGTCTATCATTGAGAAAATAGATTACCTAAAAGAGATCACTAAAAATAGATCATCGCTTAGCATCAGTCTCAAAATCCACATTCACTATTTAAATCGTCCATTAGAACCATACCAACTTTGAACAATCGTTTTCATTCTAAACAAATCAGATATGAATATCACCGTAGTAATGAAATTCACTGCAATTTCCAATTGAAGTGAAAAAATGATAAGTTGAATGAGTAATTGAGCGCAATAAATGAGTTTATTTTCTAATATAATAATTAAAATGAAATTGGCTGTCAATCGAATTAAATGAATCAATCGAATTGATTGACGAAGATAAGCATTGTGATCGTAAAGGTGAAGGCCATCCATCACATTGGAGCGATTGAATTTGATCGAATAAGAGGAAGATAAAAAGGGATGAAAATAGGTGGGAGGAATGGGATGGGCAAAAAAAGTGTGAAGATTGTGGTGAGATAAAAAGAGACGTGAACAGACTAATGAGGAGATTTATGTTGGCGAAGAATTTAGTTGAATTAATTTCAAACAAATATGAATGTGGTAATTCGTCAACACTTTTTCAACTTTGCTCCCAATTCATCACGTCTATCATTTTCTAATCCTCTTCCCCCGCATTTTGTTGCAATATTTGATGCAAGTAAAATGGAAGAGTAATAGACCCACTTTGTATGCTAGAACCAATGAAAATAATCTCAAAAAATGAAACAGGTATTAATCGAAGACGTCATAATACAGCTGTCGATAACGACTGCATCTGTATCGAAGCNTGTAAGCTTCATCGACAGCTTTTGCACTAATAAAAATTCATCCATCCGATTAATCCCAACTCTAGTCCCACAAAAGATCAGCTGGTAGTCTTTATTTCGTTTTACCTCTGCGAGACGAAAAATAATTGCAATGCCATAATTTACGAAATGATAAGTAAATGGAAGTATGGCGTATTACGAATTTTTAAATTCCTTTTTTGACCTCTACTCTGAAATTGACCTGGATAATGAAACTAACATTCATTTTCTACTATAATTTTCAAACCTGATTCAGATACCATTGTGTTGCATATAAACGATTTCGAAGTTTAAACATGGAAATATTGCTCACTGATGTATACTTAAGAACCATTGTGATATGAAGTTGTTTTCATCTTACATTGTTTTGCGCTGAGCGCCTGAGCGATAATTGACCTCGTCTCCTCAGCTCATCTCGCTTCATCTACTCAGACTACAACATTTCAACCTGACCAATGCACGCCACTTACTCGTCTCGGTTCATCGAATCAAACACCTTTTTCTTCAATGTCAAACAATTTCAACGCGCCATTTTTAAAACTTACTTCACTTTACTTTTCAGTTCAAAACTACATCGCGCAGATTTGCCGCACAATTCATTTTGTTAACATTTTCAGTTCATTGAGTACGGATGGAAATACCAGAAAACCTCATCAGTCAACCATCATTCAGTGACAAATTGCGATAAAATTGACGTGATAAAGTGGAGCAGTCAGTGCAGTTGGTAAACGTTGAAATTTAGGTGAAATAATACCTGATGTGGTCGATACCTTCATCATAATTATTAACATTCAGTTTTGATGACATGAGAACATGATGCCTTCATTGATGAAGACCAATCAAATGCCAGTAAAACCCACTCTCTTAACTCATGATTCCTTTGTGTGGGATGAAGGAATTATGAGTTGATGAATTCATAAATGCTTCATAAATTATATTCAAATGCGAGAAAAGTATTACTTAAAAATACAGATAGAATTTGAGGTTTAGGATTTTGATGTGCAGTCGTCGTTCATCGGTAAAGATCATTTTCCTGCGAAAATTTTAAAATCATTATGAAATGCTTCAACAGGATGTACTGTGATCAGTGGCGGAACGCAACTCACATATCAAGCCTTCGAAATTACGCTTCATGAATGTGTCATTCAAAGTGAAAGATTGCTAAGTGTTTTCTTGTCCACATTCTCAAAATATTCCCGTAGGAATGCGCTCCATTTCATCACTGACTAATGTTTGCTCAGTACTTGTTGATGTCCATCGAATGTATCTTTGAAATTTTTGTCGGGTTGTTCGTTTGAATTGTCGAAAAGTCAATTTTTTTTGTAAAAATATGCTTAATCTTATCGTAACAAAAGCTTCGAACTTTACGTTTCGACCGTTATCATAGCCTCGATTATGACTGCCTACAAAACACGTTGATATCATCGTTACGAAAATTATGAATTTCTTTGAAGTGGGAAATTCACAGAATTTAAAGTGATAGTGATGAATGTTGTGGACATTTGTGTAAAAACAAAATGGAAACGTTGGCAAGCAGATGCTGGCACTGGGAATAACACAAAAGAGAGGATAGAGCCAACCACAAGAAATCATCAATATGTTAAAGTAAAATATGCAGATGGCTGCAGTGATATCGAACGAATTGAAGCATCACTCGTATTATGCTAGGACGATTTGAGATTGCGAGAGAAAATTAGAAAAGAAAAATCGTGCTTGCGCGTATTTTGATAAAAATTTTATTATTCCCAACACTGCTATTTGTGAACTGAAGTAATTTTTGTATTAAAAAGAGCGCAAATATCAACTTCTGTTTCACTATTAATCCCAAAAGGATTTATCATGGAACTGCACGATGCATATTTACAAAGCAATCGACGGACAATTTCCAAGAAAGAATTGCACTGAAAGACATCTACGTTCTACAGTCCGTACAATACTGCAAGATTCTAAATTAGTTATGGTTACATTATGCAAGAGAGTAAAAGTAGTAATCAGGTCTATTAGATGAGAATATGGCATTAATTAGATTTAATTGTGTGACTATGGCAGTGTCCTCTTGACTGAAGCATTGCTAAGATGTCGATAAAAATTTGTCTCTATGTTTGTTTGTTTACAAAAATGCTATCAAATAATGGCATATGTATATATTTCAAGATATCATTCCACAATGCGGTATATCAAAGAAATGAGCAACACTGAATGTTTAGACAAAGTGATTGATACTCGGAAATATTCCCGCAGGCAGCCATTCTCAGTGAGGTTGCATCTTCTAATTAATTGTTTATTCGTAAATGGAATCAGACAATGGCGTTCCTTTTGCTAAATAATACCCCTTTTGAAGTGCAGTATTTTCAAAGAACATTATCAACTATATCCGGTAGATTTGTTATTCTTTCTTCTCTGTATGCAGTGAATGAAATAAACAAATGAAAG